ATCAATTGTTATCATCACTGATGATATAGATGCTGTTAATATCTAAAGATCAGGAAATGAAACAATGTGTAATCTTCAATAACGATACCCTGGGTTCCACAGGCTTCAGAGAGTTTCCTAGTGAGGATTTAAAATATGCTAAACCTGGTTTGAAGAGTGGATGCTTTACTTACATGGTTCATTTCTACGGCGACATAGATAATAGCAGCAAAGACAAAGAAACATCTTACAATGTTCCATCTTACCATGAAGTTTACAAAGTCTTCTGACTGGTTTAAATGAAGGAAGTAGCAATGTGGTTAGTTGTCAGGCTAAGGACGCGTTTCTCCATTAATACACGAGAAGCGATACAATTGGTGGTAGTGATGATGATGGTGGTGATGATGAATGATGATGATGGTGGTGATGATGAATGACGATGATGATGGTAGTGATAACGGTGATGGTTGTAAAGATTGTGGTAGTAGTGATGATGAATGATGATGATGATGAAAATCTGGCATGGTAGTGATGAGGTGATGAATGAAGTGATGGTGATGATGATGATGATGATGATGATGATGATGATGATGATGATGGTGATGATGATGATGATGATGATGATGATGATGATGATGATGATGGTGATGATGATGATGGTGATGATGATAGTGATGACGGTGATGTGACAATGGTAGTGGTGATATGGGGTTGTGATATGGTGATGATGATGATGGTGGTGGTCATGGTAGTCATGACAACAGCAATGGTGATAGTAAAGGTGATTATGGTGATGATAATGATACATAGGAACAACCCCACAAAGCACCATACTTCCAACTTACTTCGGAAAATTTCACCAAAAATGCCGTTGACAACAAAATTGTGACAACTCCAAAAGTAAGACAAATGTAATGAAACGTCAGTAGTTTGTTTCCTAATAAAATTCAATAGTAATCAAAAGTTAGGAAATCTCACTAATTGTCCCTCGCAGCAAATACAACTCGTTGGTATTTGTACGTACTGTCGTAATCTGTATCTTCGTCCACGTTTTGTTTATAAGATTTCACGATATCCGTAGCAGTAATGTTTAAAATAATGTTGATCAAATACAAAACCTGAAAAGCAGAAAGTTGTAGAACATGAGAAGTGTCTTTAATTAATAATTTTGTTCAGCTGACGATCAGTATACGCGGTTTCTAATGATGGAAGTCATACGCGTACATTTAGTACATCAAACTGTTCTCCAGGCGGAAATTATGCTCAAAACTTTAACATAGGTACAATACGTTTAGTTAGTATTCAGGCTACACGCGTAAAAATCTCACAACTTGGCAACAAGATGTGTTCGCAACAGGCTTGTAGTAAGCTTGTCAACAAGTTGTAACAATGCTGTTATTTTATCAAGTTGCTACAAGGTTGTCACTCACAACTTGTTGACAAATTGTTTAATTACAGGACGATAACAAGTTGTTGGAACAACTTGTAACAAGTCTGTTGAGCTCAACAACCTGTAGCAAGTTCTCAACAAGCCATTGACAACTTGTCAGCAAGCTGGGAACAAGCAGTGCGAAGACATCCTGTTCAAAAGTTGTTGGAACAGCATTGGCATTGCTACAAGTCTGCTGCAGGTTTGTTACAACTTGTGCGTTTTTACTTTTTACGTTGTTGTATTGAAGTCTTTTTTCATTATCAATTTCACTGCAAGAACTACAATATTGCTTACCATTCAATACTAATCCTTGGGGATAATTTAAACCAATCCCGGAAAAACGTTTTAATCTGATTTCCGTCAACGATTTGAATTCCATCAGTCCTTACAATATAGTATATCCTGTCGTACGCGCCTTTTTAACTACTCGCAAAATACGCAAATACGTAATTGTTTTACCGGTTGATAATGAAGAATTTGTCTAGTCTGTTGAGGTTGAGTTTAACATTTAGTTTTGAAAATTTCGACTCTTTTTGCAAGGCCAAGGGTTTCGATTTCGATTTGATATTTTGACAGGAGAATGTCATATGCCAGTTGTTGTTGACATTTTGTAAATGCACTTATAATGATCTCCTAATCTTAGCAGACCTAAGTATTGTGATTAATGCCCCCCTCGAATATACCTCACACCTGACCATGAAGCTCATAATATTATTAATATACCAGCATATGAACTACTACGATACATGACACTACGATTTGTGCTACGATACATGTACTGTATATGCAGTCATCAGAGAAAACTTGTGGGAAAAAGAGTCGGTCAACGCTCTGCCAAAAGTCGTGGCTTTTCTCCGGGTATTCCGGTATCTGGGAATGTTGACAGGTAGAATAAACACAGTTAGGAAAGTAATATCACAATTGTTGTAGAAGACAAAATAGTCCAGGCTATAACTAACGCAATATTTGATGTGAAGCGCATTCGGTCATAAATCTTAATTAACGATTCCATAGTTTAGTCATGTTCATCCCTCAAACAATGGCCGGGACAAACAGATGTTTAATCCGCGATGGAGCTTTTAATTTTAATAGATGCATGCATATGCCTGCAGGAATACTTATCAAACAAGTTTAGGGTATGTTATAGCCAGTTAAAGTGCCACCATGCTTTATAGTAATTACGCTAATTGCTAGCCAGGCTAATAGACGCCTGCTACGGCTACCAGCTGATCCATAAGGTTGCAGGGTATATAGTCTACTATGGAATATAGTTCGACATATAGTGCTTAAAACTGAGTTAAGACGAAGCGTGAACAAAATTTACGTGAACAAAGATTCTTCCTTTGGCTAGGAACTTTAATTGGACTTCATAATATATATGATCTAATCTATCAATTTTTCACATAAAATTATTTGGCTTTTTACCCGGCCACGCACGTGTGATATCATGGAGTAATATAATGCGTTTCACGCTCTTATTAAATTAAACGCGGTTTTACGCGGTATTTCGCAATCCTATAGCATGGTAGAACCGTGTTTTTGACCAACATGTCACATGAACTGAGATGTCTCACAGAGCACGGAGTCAGTCTTTGTGAAAGAGGCCTGTTATACTGGCAGTATTCAGTATCATGCAAGTTATACCTTCACGTTTATTTTGAATCTCCAGCTATCCTGAGATAACTGTTCTAGTCAATGGGGCAAAATGCACTATATTCAGTACTACCACAACTCTATTGAACAGATTTGTTCTTTAACCAATCTTGTTCTATTAATTGGACAAATAAAAAGTATTTTAAAGTTTTACAGAACAAAGCAGTTCGATAGCGCTGACATATGATATATTTGCACTGATCGATTCTCCATGCTATGCAGAGATATGCCTGAAGAATCAGCAGAGAGCGACCCTTTGAACTATAGCCCCAGTCTATTATCCCAAACGCTGTTTTCTGATCAAACATGCTAGCTGTATTTACTTGACATGAATTATAAGCAAGAAAATCGTGCGTGCCGGGTGGTCACATAACGTTAGATTGTACATACGTGGCACTAGTAAACTAAACTACTTTATAAAAATATACATTTGTTGTGTATACCTCTGTACATATACTTACTATGTAGAACCATGCGATGAAGCGAGTCCCCGTTGCTAAGCTGTAACGACCGCAAAATACGTTAATATAACGCATCCTTTCAGACAATCGTTAACTTTGAATTAAGTTTAGTGTGTTAAATAAGATCCTTTATTGTGAGAATCACAACAGTCAACGACCTTGTCGAAATGTAATGAAAGAGCCTCTAAAATGCGTGTAATTTGACACCACCAAAGAATGGTAATGATGCAATACATGTTTAGTTTTGTTTGTGCAGCGTGCAGTTACTAGTCAACGTGCTAAGTGTACATGCATGTTCCAATTCTCTTAATCTTTATTAGGGTTTTTATTCGCCCACCATTTACGACTTCCAAACAAGGCGCTTCTCTCAAACAAAAACGCCTTTGAAAGGCAGACTTGTAGCACGTCTAGCAACGTGCGTGACAAAGAATGTAAACAGAAAACGACTGGATGCGCGTCGATCTTAATTAACCTTCTTAATAACACAACCAACCTCGTACCCAGGGCTTCTGCGCTAACACAACTCGAAGTTACTACCTCAAGGGAAAGTGCTGCCGTGTGGTCATGTGAAAGTTGTCACAAAGCATCTACACTGATTGAAACAGATAACCGAACCAAAATCAAGATCGTTTGGGGTTGAGTTATTCACGTTGCAAAAATAAACAGACTGTATGTCTCATTTTTACCGTAAAAATATTTTTAAAGCAACAGCTCTGAGCCGAACTGCAGACTCTGTATGATTGGATACATTCACTTTGTACGTGATGCTTCAATTAACATTTTAAACTTTCATGGTTATTTCAAATTGATAACGAAGTACCAGTTGACATCTCAAGGTCACTCGGGCTAATACAGATGAGATGAGCATGCAATAAAAACAGTGCAATTATTCATTAAAATGCCCATTTATCGTTATATATCTAACTTTCTGAAGACGAAATATATCACTTCGAGATATATCACTTTTAAGAAGAAGAGCTGGACTGTTGAAAGCATAATGGAAAAAGATGTAGAAGAAGCAAGAACAAGACTGGAACCACTGAGTATTTTAATAAAATACATGTAGTTTTTTATTCTCGCCAATGTACTGAAATTACATAACCAAACCAATAAGATAACATTTACAAGTGCTAGGGCAAGAGACCTACTAGAAACCTTAACAGGCTTTTGAAAACGGTGAGAGATGAGCACTTCTGGAATTGATTCGATTCCTTGAGATTTACAGTGTATATACACACGTTGACACGTAAAAACGCACAAGTTGTTGCAGGTCTGCAAACAAGTTGTTACAAATCTGTTCACAATGAAAACTGTCGACAACCGGTTCACAATTTGTTATTTGTAACAAGCTTGATGGCAATATCAGACTTATTACAAGGTTGTTCTAACACGTCTGATACAGTCATGATATAACAAGAATGTTACAAGGTTGACGACACAAGGTTGTAACAATATTGTTATTGTTATTGTTATTGCATGTATCAGATTTGTTGGAACAACCTTGCAACGAGTTTGATAATATCAACAATTAAGATTGTTACAACTGTTAACAAGTAACTAAGTAAGTTGTTCCATACTTGTTGACAACTGATTGGGACAAGCAGTGCGAACACAACTTGTTGATGGCTTGTTGGCACTAGACTTGCTACAAGATGTGAGATTTTGCGTGTGTAGTTCGTAAGAATTGATCCTTGTGCTGGTATGATACTTGTACTGTACCATATTAATACTGTACTCAATTCTCAAATACTTCTCACTGTAAAAAAGAAAATGAAGACACGAGATATTTTTAACAACGTAATATGATAGTTTATCCTTAAAATTTGTTAATTAATTAAAATACCGTGCAAGAAATTGTGAGTTCACCATGCATGATACCGTGGCCCCAACCCCTCACTGGCTGTGAAGCAAGAATGTAGTTTATACCGGTTTTATTTCGACTATACTCAACAGGATTTTGACAAGCATAATCAAATTATTTCGGACTCCAAGGGACACGACATCAATGCAATGTTGTTATAGATAGCATTGCGTTTGTCTGAGATCAATTTTTGAACCTGTGCGAGTTTTATACTGGAACCAACGATGACAATGAAACGCATCAAAGCCAGTGACAGAAATACGGCACAACTTATATTTAATTCGTTTTGCTGTTGTTTTGGTCTGCGCGCTGGAAGTCTTGTGGTGGCTTGCGTGAATGTTGTGAGTATAGAATTATGAATGTAATTATATAGAGCAAAGGTTATATTAAATATTACCATATTTTGTCTTGCTTACTATATTATGTAACTTAATGTCGTGTGTGATTTATTTGGCGGTAAGATAATTAATGCACTTGAGAAATAATGTTAGTAGAGGGCGAGCAACAGTTTCCATATATTAATATTATGTATATGTTTAAATATTGCGTCTTTGATAAAGCGCGCATTTCTCTGTTGCTGCGCCTCCGCCCGTCTGTGTTTGTATAATGTGCGTCTCACCAGACAAAATATTGTGCGCATGATATGCTATAGTGCACGCTACATTTTGTCGATTTCAGTGTGACAGACAAAAGTGGTATGCGCGACTTCCCTAAATATGAAATTTTGCATCACGCGGAAAGATGAAAGATTGACTTTATACAATACCGAAAGTATTCAAAACTCTACTTAAAAATAGTCGGACTTTTGACAGATAATATCTGACATATTATACATTGTAATCCTGTATAGCTTTATAGATTTTATATGCTTAACGTTCCATGCACGTTTTTTGAAGTGGGATGTGTCTGGTAAATAAAGATGGCGACGCACCATGGATATACAGTCTGTTTTTTTATTATTATTTTCAATTCAGTTGTCATATTTGAATCGCTGCTACGACTTCATATTAAGACGTCGTATTTCAATCACTCGTTGACAAGCGAATGTAATCAATCCCGCCACAATTTCACCGAGTCTCATTTTGGGGGGAGGTTTACATTGATTCAACAGGCTGTATAAGATTAAGGCGCCATTCGTCCTTTCATTGATCGCTGAAATCTGTGAGCAAACCCATGCGTACTGTTATATATATATATAAGATTGGAAACATATAATGCCGGTCGCAGTTGATAGGCAGTGTGGGGATATTTTTTGTGTTTAAATACGGGCTTAAATTTTTGCTCTCTTCGTTATCACTCGACGATATAAACTCAATAAATATTGAGTCCACTTTATGAAAATACGACATTGGGTTGTTTATTGAACATTTCGACTGGATTTTGGTGTGAAAAGTTAGTGTTTATTGTTGCACGCTTCGGTTAAATTTTAGTCGTGTCAAGACGCCGAATAAACACTATAGTAGTATCTGATTACTATATAAGATTTCATGTTTCCTGATTGGATGTAAGCTAATGGCATGGATTTCGATTGCGCACGATATTAGTCAGATGACTTCGTGCGTCAACATTTTTTTAGAAATTTGCACGGAAATTTCTTGTTGTTTGATCAGTATAATTCCGTAATCTGGAATAATCCTGTTTGTTTAGAATGATCTAGAACAAGCTTATCCAGTTAGTGCATCTTAATAATCATATTGTAGTGACTGTACGAAAGAAAATTACACTAAACGATGTGTGAATGACGCAGGCCTATTATGTAACGAAATTTGCATAACTTTGTGTTGTAGGCATTTCAGAGAACGATGGAGTCTTTTTGCATCTTTGCAGTTGTTTCAGTTGCTTCTTAGAAGCAGGTTTATTGATTTTTAAGCGATTTTGTCCACCAGCCCATCACCTCAAGACTATAATGCAGCTTAAATAGACTAAATAGTGATCGATAATGCAGCGTCGTTGAAGGCGAGTGGTTATCAATTTATTTAATCTGTTTGATTAACATGCTGGCGTTGTTTAGAATAGATAACAACATAGTATGAAGTTAATTACCGGCGTTAAAATTTGAGTTATAGTATTCTTTAAAATAAAAGAATTGCGAGTGGTTTGTGGCTTGTCCTTCAGTGGCTTCACTTCCAAATTTGTCCTCGTCCTCGCAAATGATCACCTTTGAATCGTCAATTAAAAATACATTTTTTTAACAGGTGATGTCGGTAATTGGTGTCTGGCACTCGCTCCATTTTGGCGGGATTGGTTGTTCACATCCAGATTGCCTAGGTATACGCAAAGTTTAATTTTTCAGTCCTGTGAGTACCAGCAGTATTCTGATCTAAACTGTTCTCCAAAGATGTCCAGTATTCCTAGTTAGAGCCATCTCGTCTATAGCTGGGTTTCACTCAAGACTTATACAATAGGGAAACGCTTTGTACGCCTTGTGGAAGCAAGTAAATTTCGTTAAATTGCATATATTTGATACCAAACGCTAGACTTATCACGTGACTGAAATCCAGCTATTGGTTCAGTGTTACTGCAGAAAGAACTGGGGAGGAGTCCTGTCGTGTTTGATAGAGTCAGACTGGAAGCACTCTCAACTTAGCTGTACGTATAATCCGACAACTGAATATTGCAGAAATTGAACCTCGGTTGCAAAGTTGAAACTGATCTGCATGCACCAACCATTGTGATAGGTAAAAATGAAAACTTTTTTGACTTCTGTGTAGGTATAAAAACGGTGCATTATATTTGGACGGGCGTGAGTAGTGTTTCTCTTGTGATCAATATTTATCTTGTGGTTTGTCTAATAAAGGTGGGTTGTGCCGGTAGGAAGGAAGGAAGGAAGGAAGGAAGGAAGGAAGGAAGGAAGGAAAGAAAGAAAGAAAGAAAGAAAGAAAGAAAGAAAGAAAGAAAGAAAGAAAGAAAGAAAGAAAGAAAGAAAGAAAGAAAGGAAATTAAATTAAATGTGGAGAAAGAAATGAAGGAAAGAAGAAATGAAGGAAGGAAGGAATGGAATGGAATGGAATGGAAAGGTGAGATAAAGTATGATTAAAACACTGAATCAATATTATATTTATTTGTATATTTCACAGAAATATTTTAAAAGCATAACAATCTGGACAATATGGAATGGATTTGTTCTTATCATTCGTTTTACAATCTTCGTTCTAATTCTGGCTCTCAATGTTCACCAGCAGGTAGGCCTGGATCCATTACGTCACAATCCTCATCCCTGGTTGTCTCTGAATGCATGATATGTTGTTGCACGGATAAATTAATTTGAGATTTGTTTATTTATGTAGCCTGTAGTTGGTAACGTCATTTTTCACGTGATTGCGTTCTTCGTAACAGTAAGTCAAATATTCGTTGAACAGGGGTAAATAGGTGGGTGGGGTTCGCGGAGGGAGGGGCTGCGAAGGAAGCAGCTCAATCTGATCGAGTTGAAAGCTTTCTAAGGGCGCTCCTGGCAGCCACCTATGACTCATGTCTGATCACGGAGCAAAGCTACATTCAGGGACGTCGCGAAGACATCTACATTGGGGGGGGGGGGGGGGGGC